TTTGCTAATTCCTGAGCTGAGCTCTGATTGGCTCGCTGCTCCCTAAGGATTTTGGTGACGTCATATATTAGCATAGAACTTCACCGAATAGACTACCCCAATTAGATATTAGATATCTATAAGTGTCTTCATAGTACGATGGTCTAAGAGGGTAGCTAAAGGTATGCTCTAGTGGGCGGCTACCCCCTCACTCCCTGGCCTTTTGGTTAAGACTAAGTTTTATGTTCACTCGGGATAGCGTGGAAGAGCCGAAATCTCTAACCGTAACGTAAGCCGATTCGCCGCCTCAGCTTCATAGAATGTCTCGGGGGAATCGTCCCATCTTTTTAGATTTTTATTTTCATTATTTCTTATGTATTCAGGGGGGGTACATCTTCTCTTGAAGTGAAAGTTCTGAGTTCGAGCCCTGCTTCTAGAATATCTCTTTTTTTCGCTTGTTTATTATTTCTTTTTTGTTTGTTTCTTGTTTTCTTTTCTTCGTTCTTTTTTTCTTTTCTTCTTTTATTTGCTGTTGTTACTTCGTTTTATTTCCTCTAGAAATTTTATCTTTTCAACTTAAACATATCAAGAACTGGCAAGGAACGCCTGCTACAAGTGGATGGTTACGTTTCGGTCACTCAACACGATGACGTACATAGTGGCGAGAGGCCACATCAAAAATGACCTGTAAACGATGTTGATGTACATCTCCTACAACAAATGACGTTTTACTCGGGAAAATAAAAGTTAAAATAAATACTGTTTCACAGATYTACAAATTACAGTATCAGACAAGAATAGGAATAGGCCCAGTACTCCCGTACACAKCTGGAACGCCTGTTTGTTTTTGACACTTCACKRAACTGCCGCCATATGCATTTTGGTTTTATCTGATGAAAAGCCATCTTTTCGTGAACTGTAAGGCTACTTATGATAATTCAGAGTARAGTTTGGAAGGCTACGATGGTATATACGAAGGTAATTACAGATTTTGTGTTTAATTAAGTTAAATTATTGCGATAAATCCTATAAATCTAGTTTCAGCAAGTTTTCTTTAATTCAATGCAAATCGTCATTAGATCCCAACCTAGTTGTTTTACATTTCTTGCTCATACTAAGCTTTTATATGGAGATTTTAAAGGGTTCTTTCATTTTGAAAAGATTCGTATTAATGGCTGACCAGACAAAACAACAAAGGATCAAGACACACTGATCTTAATCGAGAAAAAACAGTGTATACGAAGAAACACAAATCAAAATTACCAAAAATATAAGAAATGTTAACTTTATTCATTTAAATACGATGATTTTGTTGAATCTATTTCACTTTGTTCTATTTAAAGTATTTTATCTACAATGTA